CTACTATAATAATAATAATCTTTAATCTTTAAAGTCCACTCCAAATTTAATTAAGTTAAACCGAAATAGAAAGTCATTTTGCCCAATTGATCGTGAGCCCGGCAGCTACTGAGCAGCGCCAGTTAGACGTTGCTCTATTCCTTATTGCTGAACGCCAAACAAGGTAGCAGCAACTCCCGTCTTTTAACGTCTTTTGGTATGACGCGGCCGGGGTTCGAACCCGCGACCTCACGGTAGGCGCACGCTCTACTGACTGAGCCAACACACCGGTAGTAAGAGGAGCAAACAACGTTATAACACAAGTCCAAAATAATGTATGCCTTCTTTATGTTTTTTTTTCCTTCGGCTTTTTCGTTTTTCAATTTTGTTTTGTTTTTCTTATAAGCAAATGTGTGGTGCTTATTAGCAATTTTCGAAATATTTTACCCCCTTCTTTTACAAATCCTGGAAAGACTGCGCCGCCCCCTTTACCTCCCACTTGCAAACCCGGCAAAAATAATCCTTGGTGTCTATCTTTTTTCCCCATTTTTTATTGATTCTCGTCAACCTTACAAAGGTCGAAACTTATCTAATTCTTTTTCCTGTTATTTGTATTAATAGTTTTGCTTGAGGGATTTCAAATTATGTCAGATGCATAACTATGTTTTCGGATTCAAAAAAAAAAATCAATCAAAAAAAAGCTCAACATCTTTACGCTGTCATCATCCAAACAGAAAGAAGTGATGGGATAGGAAAATATGAGACATAGAAAGGGTACTGATTTTCTCACAAATCATAATTATTGAATTATTTCGGTGAAAATAGAATGCTTAGGAATGAGTAGAATATACATAATTATGGCGTGGGCACCTCGCCACCTTTGTAAGCAGGTCGCACTGCCTCAGAAGAAAAAACTTTTCCTACGTTTGAACAAAATTATCATATAGATGAGATTGTCAGCCAAGCAAGCATTATTGTTTCTTGACATCAGGGCCCCGTCTTAAAGAGAGCTGTGATTGATCCAAATCAATCGCAAGTCCTGTAATCTAGGGCAAGTTTGCAGTCCTATATCTCTTATGTACATAGTTGCGATTGATATCAACCCTTTTTCAAAAGAAAGAAGATTTCCAGGGGGGAAAAATGATCAAAATCTGGACTGTTTCATCATCCAATCAAGATATACTAAAAAAATTGAAGATAATTCGATCTAGGTAGCCTCTATTCAGTTTTCATTTTGAGTTCAGTCATTTCTTTATAGAACATCTTCGTCTTCAAATATACAGGCCACTCCATCTTTTAGATTTTTTTTTGCTGGCTCTCATAATATTTCTCTATTACTTCCTATATCGTGCAACCCGATTTCTTTTGGGCAAACACTATCAAATACACAGAAGTTATCAATTGACGAAGTTTATCATTTTCCATACAATCTCAAGACCTAAGATGCAAAGACCGGTGGAACGGAGTAAGCCCATGAGTCTATTGATTTCTGGCATTGGTCGTTCATCTGTCATGTCTATTCATAACTCAAAGTTGAAATGTTTAACTTTGAACTACCGTATATTAACTTTGATACAATAAATTCATTTGAGAACCGCTCTTTGGTTTTACATCGCTTTACAGTGAGAGTTAAAAAGCAATGATCAGAAATAAATGTACTATATTAAATGCGAACCGTGGATGTAACTCTCGAACTTTCTAACACGGGACCTGTTCCTCATTTTGCTTGCCCTTTCCAGGTAATGCTGGCTGCAAGCTCATGATGTTTCTGCCCAATTTCTGCATCGCTTCGTCCATCTACACCATGGTTTTCATTGCCCATGACCGCCGTGTCACCATATTGATCAACCAGCCGAGGGTCCACCAGAAAAGCAGGATTTATCTCGATCCTCTACTCGTCTGGTTCCTATCACTGATCATGGCTGCTCCTGCTTTCTACGAGTACTCGGTCTATCAGCGCCCGTTATTCTCTCTGGGGGATGGGTTGGGAGGAGGCAGCAGCTCCGAAGAGGTTAGGCTCATGATAGTGGTTTTTCTTGGTGTAGTCTTCATCCTCCTGTTCTCCTCCTCTCTCTCCCTTTTTAATACTTTTGCATTAAAGGTAAAGACCAGTTATGGTCATGCGATTGCATTGTGAAAGAAACGTTGTGGAATCGATCAGAAAAGGTTGATCATCTAGCATCTAGCATCTGCAAGGTTCTGGAATCATCAAAATGATAAGAAATTTGGCCCATTCTTCGTAAAGTTACAAGCACTATACACAGAAAGATGTATATGGGACTACCCTATATCTCTCACAGACCATAAGAGAAACAAATTTACCAAATAATATGAATTAGTAGGCGGTTTCCCGGCAATTTTTTTATCATCATGTATTAGTCAAAACATATTCTTTCACATGATTGGTAATGAGAGCTTCCATTTCATTTTTTGAAATTGGGGCGTTTTCAATACTGGTCTTTACCTTTAACGGATCTTTTACTTTCTTGACTTATTTTTTCTTTACTTCAAGTTTCATTATTCTTCTTTTATTTTTTTTTCTCCTTTCTTTTTTCTCATTCTCCTCTGCTATCCACAATCTTCCTTCAAGCTCCCTATGGGGACACGTCTTTTTTCAGCACGTCTTTAATTTTTGGCTTTGCATCCTACCCAATCACTTTTAAAATTCACTTTGGCCAAAAAACACTTTATTACTCGGATCTATTTCGCTATGCACATAATCACTGAATATTAAAGAAGGCTATATAACTGACGAGACGAACAATGTTGGTCTCTCATTCCTTTTCAGAATCTTCATAGGGTTTACTTTATCCACTGGTCCACCATCGACATCAAAAATCGTTGTAGAAAAAGACTTAAATGGCTCAGTGGTAGAGCAGCGAAAACCAAGTCGATGCGTTAGTGCCCTTTGGTAAGGCATTAATCCTCATTACCAAGTCCCTCGGAAAGGAAATAAAGCTGTTGGTCACCTGGTTTCTTACTTGCAAGCATACACATGCTTTCTTAGCAGTCAGGTAAAAAAACAAACCATCGAACCAAAGCAAACCAAACCTTCATGTAAAAGTTGAAGGAACCTATGATCATATTCCATGGCCTTCTTGCATATCGGTGATGCATTAAAGAACTCACGTTCCATGTCATCATTGTCATCTATTGTTTGGTTTCGATTTTAATTCAAAGAAGGAAATAGATGTTGATACTATTTTGAATAATTCACTTTTTACTATTTACAAAAGCTTTGTTGGAAAGAATTTAAAAAGAAAAATCGAACGAGAGACTTCTGCATATTTTTATTTACATATTAAATTTTCGTTTACAGATAGAAGAAAATATTAGAAAACCATGTTTATCCCTAATGGATTGGAGGGATAAACATGGTAATAGCGTCTAAAAACTGCTCTGAAAGTATGGTGCAAATCTTATGGTAAACAAGAGCAATACCAACTAAAATCGCCTCTTAAAAGTTTAGAATTGATACTGGCCTCAAGGTGGAGTTATATCGACAAGTGGAGAAGGAAAACAAAAAAAACTACAAAATAGTCTGATATTTCAGACCCTTGTACTGGACAGTCGTTTTGTGCCGAGTACAGACTCAATCACTTTAATGCTGGCCATTACAAGAAGCAGGATATTGATGGGTACAAATGCTAATGTGTCCTTCACAGCTCATTTTAATATAAAGTTAACATGTAGCTAATGGCTACCAACTAAAAACTCCTCTTCAAGGCAGCAACTCTCATTTGCACTCCTTTCATCAAATTCCATGGAGTGTATCGTGTATTCTTATGCCAAAGAGCTTTACCCATGCAATATTATATTTTGGGGAGGGTGTGCAAATGAGGGCTACCAACTTTAAAGGTGCTGTGTCTCTTTAGCAGACAGAAAATACAAAGTTGTGTAAATCATGATCTATAGAATTTGTTTTTGCCTGCAAAAGGGAAACACTACCATTACAGGTAGTGGGCCTCATTTAAACACCCATTCCCCAATTAGATGATATTCCAAGGCTACCTCTTTGGCATTAGAAAAACCCTGTTCAAATATTAAGAGCAAACTGACCAGTTGTTTAGAAATCATAAGTCAATAGATTTATTTTATTTTTCTGAAATAACAAATTATGCTGAACACAAAAAAAAAGAAATGTCCTCGCTTCTCATTTACAATATACTTATCTTTGGCTCAAAAATTTCATCAAGTTTACTCTCATGGCAAAGAACTTCTATCAAGGAATTTTTCTCAAAATTGGAAAGGCATTGCACTCAAATCGTATACTGAGGTTAAAGAGGATGTCATAAAAATTCATTACTGCAAAATTATTTTGAAACGATTGTGTATGAAGACGAATATTGCCGAAGGAATTAAAAACATTTATTTAATTTACTCAACATTAAATTTTTGTATTGGTAAAACAAGAGGCTTGTCGAAGTGAAGGAAGAGCGAAATTTGATCTTGCGTCATAGAAAACATTTGTTTTCAAAATCCTTTACAAATAATAAGAACAATGAAAAACAATTTAAAAATACAAATGCTCCCGGTGCACATGCAGGATATCCTGCAAGCTCGAATTCCGCTCTTCCCCCCACTTCAACAAGCCTCGGCTGTACACATACGCTTCACTCCTTATGCAGCGTTTCCCGCCTCCCCCTCGCATCCTTCTCTTCTAGATTCTCTACTGCCTCTCCTTCATCCATGGCTCCTTCCTCTTCCTTTACACCTCCAATGACGTCATCCAGCATGCTGGTAGCAGCATTATCCTCCTCAATGTCCTTTAAATTAAAAGAGATTTAACAAAAAAAGAGTTATCATCTAACAAACTTTGTCGAGATAAAATCAACTATGTAAAAAAATATGTATAAATTGGGTATGTAAAACAAATTCATTTATGCAGATCGATATCTGAAATATTCGTAACAAGCAACTACACGTTTGCTTGGGTGTGAGCGGGAATCTACCACTTCTGCCCTAAAAGTGTCAGGAACTGCATCCATCCTTTTGTAGGTCATGCTATAATGACCGGCACTAAATCTTCAACAACACCTAAGCTAACGTGTAGTTGCTCGTTACGAATCTTTCAGATATTGATCTGCATAAATGGATTTGTTTTACATACCCAATTTATACATATTTTTTTTACATACCGCAGTTGATTTTATCTCGACAAAGTTTGTTAGATGATAACTCTTGTTTTTTTAAATCTCTTTTAATTTAAAGGACATTGAGGAGGATAATGCTGCTACCAGCATGTTGGAGGACGTCATTGGAGGTGTAAAGGAAGAGGGAGGGGCCGTGGATGAAGGAGAGGCAGTAGAGAATCTAGAAGAGAAGGAGGAGAGGGGGGGGGGGGGGGGGAGGGGGAGACGCTGCATAAGTTGTGAAGCGTAATTGTACAGCCGAGGCTTGTTGAAGTGGGGGAAGAGCGGAATTTGAGCTTGCAGGATATCCTGCATGTGCTCCGGGAGCATTTTTATTTTTAAATTGTTTTTCATTGCTCTTATTATTTGTAAAGGATTTTGAAAACAAATGTTTTCTATGACGCAAGATCAAATTTCGCTCTTCCTTCACTTCGACAAGCCTCCTGTTTTACCAATTTTTTACACTCCATGGAATTTGATGAAACGAGTGCAAATGAGAGCTACTGCCTTGAAGAGGAGTTTTTAGTTGGTAGCCATTAACTACATGTTAACTTTATATTAACATGAGCTGTGAAGGACACATTAGCATTTGTACACATCAATATCCTGCTTCTTGTAATGGCCAGCATTAAAGTGATTGAGTCTGTACTCGGCACAAAACGACTATCCAGTACAAGGGTCTGAAATATCAGATTATTTTGTAGTTTTTTGTTTTCCTTCTCCACTTGTCGATATAATTCCACCTTGAGGCTAGTATCAATTCTAAACTTTTAAGAGGCGATTTTAATTGGTATTGCTCTTGTTTACCATAAGATTTGCACCATACTTTCAGAGCAGTTTTTAGATGCTATTACCTCTTGTTTACAATCTGATTTACACACATTTATATTTTCAGCCTACAAAAGGGACTGTTACACTGTAGGTCATTATCAAGCAAAATAAACACTAAGATAATTTTAAATAAATACAAAAATTGTGTGGAATTATTTTAAAGTTTTTCCTGTGCATTTACTGATGAGATGTACAACTTTAATCTTTGACAAAGTACATAAATACTTTAGTACATTGTGTTGATTTACCTGTGGACTTGCTGTTTTACTGACATTTTGATGCAATAATCCTTGTCGGAATTTACATTATTGAATGTTTAATAAGATATTTCATTGTGACATTTGTTACTTATATACACCATTTTTATTTTAATACCGATGTAAATTATTCTCAATTGAGTTATATTTACAGCCTTATGCTATAAATATCTGAAATATATCTGTTACATCCATTCAAATTACAAGTGTACTGCATAATACTTTAGTGTCAATTTTTTTCTTGAAATTTAAGTAGTAATAAATAATATGTGAAAGATATGTGAAGACTTTGAATACTTATGAGAGGTAAAAGTCTCTCGTAACTTTATGAGAGACTTTTGACTTAAGAGAGACTTTTATGTGTAGACTTTGCTTTATGAAACAGAAAAGTCTCTCATAACTAAAGTCTCTCATAAGTAGGACACTTAAGAGAGACTTTGGGGTTTAGGTCTAGACATAAATTCTTTATGAAACACCCCCCAGAAATAGAGGCAAATGCTAAAAATGTGAAAATGTTTATATTATTATGAAAAAAATAAAGAAGACCGGAAATGGTTATTTTACAAAAACAAAACACAAGAACTCCCGACGTTTCTTAATTTTGCAAATTCAGATGGACCGTCAAATACGCTGGTCAAGTCTGTTCAATACGCCAGATAGGTAATACGAACCACCATTTACGTCTAGGTAGTTAATATAACCATGTACTATTGGATAACAGTTTAGGTGACCTATCTCAACACTAATATATTTTAATTATGTCTGTCAACTAACCATACATTGAATGTAATTTCTATACTGTACTATTTGATCTCTCTATGTAACACAGGTTGATGATGACCTTATAGCGAATACCACAATATTCTATCTGGCTTGTGGCTCACACGACATAGTTGAGTCATTCGAGAAAGTATACGCGAGTATCCTCTTCGTAGTAGCCTACATTCTCCCTCTACTGATCATCAGCATAAACTACATCATCCTCGGCAGGTTCATCATGAAAAGGCGTTTGGTCGTTCCGATTCGAGAAGTGGGGACCAACGACGAAAAGCCAGGCTATCATACCGGTGATGACATCCCCATGCAACTGCCCAACGCCAAAGCGGCTTCAACACCAGGACAGAGCATACCAATGAGTCCATTCGATCACAATGGGTTGCAGCAACCGGAGAACTGCTCAAATGCCACAATACCGGATGAACAGCCTGTTCCCAAAGGCCCTGCCGAGGTCGGCAAAAATCCGGAGACGTTCGTGAAGAAAGTATCTGCCCGAATCATCAAGATGCTGCTTGTCTTGGTGGTCACGTTTGCCATCTCTAGGGCTCCTTACTTCATCATGTTCGTGCGAGAGGTGAGCTCCAGTGTCAGCTGTGTAGAATGGGTCCAGAAATTGAGAGGGCGATGGTATGTGGCCAGGGGGAGGGGCGCACCATTCTTTGTCGGTCTCTCGATGGATGGCATGCAAATTAACAGGGTCATTCATCCACGGGGAGGTGCAGGGGGTGGTAGCATCTCTTTTTACATTTCCTCTCATATTTTCCTTTCCCATCACTTCTTTCTTCGTGTGGATGATGACACTGTAAAGATAGTAGGCTTTTTTTTTAATTGAATCAGTATTATTTTCAAATTAACATAATCATCAGAAAAAGATTATCAACGCCAAAAACCCATTTTCTGTTTGATTCAGTCATGTGTCAGTTTATGCTAATTTTCTCGCTTGTGCTTTGTATCTAGGAGATAACAGGAACGGATGATTCAGCGCGTTTCGGTGAAGCCTTTCACGTGGTGAAGCTTCTGGCTTCTGTCTTCATGAGCCTACTCAATCCCCTCATCTATGCAGTGTTCAATAGTCGCATCAGGAAGGGAATCGGTCGACTCTTTTCCCCGAATGTTCCATACTTCAGCAGAAACACTACCACTACCAGCGATGCCCGTTGAAACCTAAATCCTACCACAGTCTAGGGTCGGTTCCTTCTTGATTGACCCCAGGCTAGCTATACGGTATGACAAGACTTGCGTATGACAGAATACTGGATAGATCGATCTACTCTCAATATGAACAAGACGGACAAAGAAAGCGGAGAAAATATACAGTTCCTCATTCGACCCTCAACAATTGCTGTGGTAGACAAAGGAACATCCCTTCACTGATATTATGTAAAAATGTGTAGAACAGGTGTCACATGTATATTCACCTGCATCTACACATTTTCACATAATGGCAGTGAAGGGATGTTCCTTTGTCTACCACAGCAATTGTTGAGGGTAGAATGAGGAACTGTATATTTTGTCCGCTTTCTTTGTCCGTCATATTCATAGTGTCTACCCCCGTGTACCAGAGCGAATCTTATAAGACATTTCCCTTTCACACGAAAGTGTCTTTTTAGTGTAGCGCCATGATGTTCCCCCAGACTGGACCGCGGTATGAAAGAGTACAGGGATGATTTTGGGGGTTTTGGGGAGCGGTGAGGGGGGGGGGGGACGGCCATTTCGAATTTTCAATTAGTAGATGTTACTTAATATATAAAATGCTTAAGTTTGCATGTAAGCTGTACCCTATTTGAGTCAATCAATTAAAACGTATTCACTCACTTGAAGACAAACTCTGTGCAAGTTCCGGGGGCATATATTCGCTTACACCAGACCTGGTGGAATGACCACGCTATATGTTTACAAATCCCGCACGCAGCGAAAACTTGTGGCCCATTTGGAACTTGGAAGTGTTCAATCATTGTTCGGACGAAGGATTCGTGATGGTAATTTTTCCTTACGGGGAGGTTCTTTTGATGATGTTGATGGTGGACATGCATTAAGTGAGGCCTATAGGTCGTATGAATGAAGTTCATTTCATGCAGATCAGAAGAATACCCCTGTTTGTCGGGTAAATACTCGTATATAGCATCAAATTGTACATGAGAAACCCTGATCGTGTGTCTTTAAAAGAAATTATACTCGTCTTTAATGGTCAATGTCAAATTTACAGCAGACTAAGTTTGCACCTGTTCTTCAAAAGTATTAATACTAATTAAAGGCACAGTGTAGCATTATCTTTTTCTGGTTTGATTAAAATGTAAGGTCTGTGATTCTTTTTTCTTTTGAGGTCTCATTACGAAAGACCCTTTCCTTCTTTTTCGTTTTATCTTTGAGAGGAAAGACCCAACCAAATTTTGATAACACATCGATAGTCATGTCTGGAGGTACTTACAACCTAATTTTTGTTTTCGGGATAAGGAAGCCATATCCACCAAATCAAGTTGCCATGATTCATCCATCCCATTCGCAATCACTCTACTCTTTCAAAACTTTTTCCAAACAGGATAATGTAAAGTCATTGCCCGCCAACCGCTCTCGTATTTTTGTTTACATGGCAAGTTATACACTCTATCCTCCTTCACAAAACAGTTCAACTTTTCAGCTCCTCCAAACCCGCCCCTTTCCCTCCATAAACCTTGCGCAAGTACTCGTCCGTGATTACCTAATCTACTTCTCACACATCTCCATACAGCAACAACCACTCTCAATAATGACCATTCCCCAAACACCCAAGCCCTTATGAATAGATAACTGTTACAAAAACAACACATAAGGGAAACAAATTACAGTGTAACATAACATTTAAATTCAATGATTTTAACATTCAAAGAGAGAGAGAGAGAGCATTTGTGTACAGTGTGATTACTGACGGGGCTACCCTGTTTAAATAAAACGGAATTAATAAATAAATAAATAAATAAGAAAAAACAAAAAACATATATAAAGTTTGGCATCATTAAATATGAATGTAGTAGGCCTACTGCATATTATTAATTTCATTGGATCAACAGTTTCTGTTTGAGGTGTACGAGCACCTTATATCTACTTCGAAGAATTCCATTGCCTCTCCTTACAACGAAGTCCTGTTCACAAGAAATATCTCTTCTAGCTTGTACGTTCCCGAGTCAAAGAATGAGAAGAAAACTCCACCTTTCAACCTGTCCACTGCCTGCTGGAAATAAATATTTGTTGACGTTAGCTTCCCACGGCTTCAGCACACATTCCGGGTGCATGTCCATCTAGGCCAGGTCACACAGAGGGAACGCATGGGGGACACACGGCCAATTGCCATTGCACATCACGATTCCCCTTGTAAGGTTACTATGGCCCTGACAACAGACACAATAATTATAATAATAAAGTGTTGTTGTACAGCGTCTCCATGCGCTAATTGTATTTATCTACACAGCATAATTATGAAGATTCCAGGCTTCTGTTCGGTCAAAATGGCAGATATGAAATTCGCGTCTACTGACTGCTGGGCAGTGTAGCGAAAAATAGTGACCGGGCATAGTTCTACTTGCGCATACAATGCAAGGTTGCAATGACTGCGCGTGAAGTTAACAAAGGATATGTGCAGTGAGAGACGCACAATGCTATTAGAAGGGTTAATTTCCTTTATAAGATGATGACGTAGATCCTAATCAAATGATTAGTTGAAAGCGTACACGTGGCAAGGCATTTATTTTGTCGAACGCGTAATTTGGATAATAACCCCAATTCCAATGACCGGTCATTAGTAAAATCATATTTTAAAACATCATTTATTAAACAAATAAAACATATCTTTTAAAACAAATGATACACATCATTTTGTTCGGGCATTAGTAAGGTTACCCACACTCGGTACCTTCAAAACAGTCTAGTTAGACTGTTCCAAAGGTAGATGTGTGGGTAATTCCGACTAATGGCCTCACTGCTGTGTATTATATGTATATTAACTCTACAAATATATACGCTATAGCATGTTTTGTAAAAATATCTCTTTTTAAGAATTAACACTTGGGAAAAGGTATATAAATTACACTGACTATTTCATGTACGGGTCACGGTTAAAACTAAAGCTCCTCACTGATCTCGGGTCTGCACGATGCCTCTCGAATCCATTTCGGGCACATGCAGTGCAGTTTCGAGATAATATTGGCAATAGTTTTAACACGGCTCCTCGAGGCAGTCAATATTTGTATAATAGAGCCCGTTGCATACGAGGCTTTACATATCGGCCCATATTCATCAACAAATCAAAGAGACGCCTGCACTGTTCATATTGCAATTCCTTTATAAACGATGCCTTTAGATCTACCAAAGCTTTATAATTCTATGAAAGTGTGATTTTGATTTGTAATTGTTATGATCTTTAGCGGATTATTATTATTATATGTTGTTTTAATCGATGATCCTATTTTCTGATCATTAAACAAAAATATTGTAAATATTGAGCAATTAGTCCCTGGACTAAAAATATGAGTTTTTAATCAACCATAGTGAATTGAATTGACCTGAATACCTCCCATTACGCCTCAAAAGGGCACAAATCTATGACGCAAGCCTAGGTCATCAAAATGTCACCCCTTCGTGTGAAACAAGCCGTGTTCACATCCAGGCGCGTAAGAGTACTTTTGTGTGTGTGTGTGGGTGTGTGTGCGTCCAGGATTTAATGAAAAAATTCGCAACGACTCACCCAGCCGATGAAGAAGCGGGGGGGGGGGGGTGGGTAAGGTTACCTTTATTTGGTCACTCATTAGCACTATTTTTTATTTTTTTTAAATATTTTTTAAATTGAGGGGGGGGGAGGTTCCTCAAAAACATACACACAAACAAAAATTGAGGGGGGAAGGGGTTCGACCCCCAAACCCCCACCCTGCGTACGCGCCTGTTCACATCTAACTGCTCCTCCTTCCTGGTAAGCGACATCATTAACTTGAAGTTTACTCTGTCAAGTTGGAGGGAATGTGGCCTTGCTGCAGTTTGATTTGATTAAAAATAATACTTGTCGCATTTGTATCACGCCAAATATACTACGTTTCTAAGCGCTCTACATCGTAATTATTATTACCCCAGTCGTTGGATTCAATTAATAATCCGCACATGGTAGTGCATGCGCTCCAATCCCTGGGGAGTATTGCGGACATGCGCCATTTTAAAAACGCACAAATGCCAATCCAATCACATTAACGGTCGCATCCTACCGGGAAGCGCTACCGGGAACCCATTTAACACCTGGGTGGAGAGTGGAAAATGTAGATTGATGTCTTGCTAAAGGACATTAGTGCCGCGGTAGGACTCAAACCGAGATCTGTGTGATCCACAGTCCATGACATACTTTATTTTTATTTCATAATTCACAGTCAAAATAATGTAATATAGTAATGTGTTTTTCCTTTAAAGGATTAACTTTCTATTATTGATGTGAGCAAGTGATTTAAAAAAGAAAGGAAAAAGAAAAAAATTAATATGATTAGTTGGCTGGACGTTTTCTCTCTGAAGTATAGACGGTATAAGCCTCGGTAAAACAACAGGGAAACAATATCACCGCTTGTCCGCTTGATGTCCATTTCTCTCTTTCTCCTGCCAAAGCCGTAGAGTAACGTCCAATGGCCTTCAGTTGTACTCTTCCTTTATGATTATGGGTGCAGTAGGGTGTTGTTCCCAGGTCAATATGCACTTCCATCTTAAAAGAATTATGTGCATGCATTCACGTTGATTTAATGTATTTGCAATGAAAAAGGGTCCCTAGTTTCCCGAATTTTGAAGGCATTTCTTACCTGCAACAGAACCAGAAGGGCGTTAACCAACACACTTGCTTTAACCTGTCACGGAGTTAAAGCCCTTCTTGACCTAAACGGGGAAAAAGAGACGATATGCACTTTTTGTTGTTGAGATATGTACTGCCATTAGGTGATGGTCCCAACGTGAGATTTTGCTCAAGAAGCGTATAGATCATTCTGATAGAGGTGTCAACCATGCACGTGTACGGATCATCGGAAAATGTTTGTATACATCACTTACGAATTGAAAGTGGCAACGGAGCCAGTTTGTTCCCCCCCCCCCCCCCCCCCCTGGACAAATCTTCAATTTTATAAACTACATCACCCGACTTTTCAGTCAATATTGACGATATTTTTGCAAGGTAAAACAAGGAAAGTTAACTAAGGAACATTTTTCCCAATTATATATTAAGTTTATTCTATAACTTCAGATATCAACTGGGTTCACGTATCACTGAATAGGCATACACTAATGGTAT